GAAGGAAGGAAGGAAGGAGAGAAGGAAGGGTGTCAGGGAGCATTCCGTTGGGCGCAAGGGGGGGGGAAAGAGCATGTTTTGATGTGTTCAAGTGGCTGCAAGCAAACTCCGGGCAAGTCCAGCGCCATCGTCTTTTGCTGGGGGGGGCGGTGGTGGTGGGGAAAAACGCCCCGGCTTTTCTGTAACGCATGCAAAGCGGAGGCCGCGTCCCGTGATCTAGTATTGCCATGAGGAACTGAAACAGAATGTCTTCAACAGGTCCTGTGCCTGGCTCCACGTCCTGGCGAAGGTGGCAGCGAGAGGCAGGAAAAGAGGCCTACGACGATGACAACAACGACGACGACCGTATCAAACGTGACGCGAAAAACCGTGCGGGGGGGAAAAGGGAGGAAAAAAAGAAACCACCAGCTCCTCTCATACCCTGTTTGACGCGGAGGTGTAGGGATCTTTCTTTCCTCCTTTCTCTGCTCTCTCTCTCTCTTTCTTTTGTGTGAAATCTCTCCCGTTGACAGGCCACGAAGGGTCCCACGGCAGCGAGCAAACGATTCGTTTGAAACAAAACAAGCCACGGCTTTTGTGCTTTGACAAGGAATTCTATCGTGTTTTCGACAGAGTTCTTCCCATGGATCCTGTGTGGCCAGTGTCGGTGTCTGAGTGTGTGTGGGTGTGTGTTTGTGTGTCTTTTAATTCTCCTTTCCATTGTTCATTGGTAATTAACCACAAAAAGCACCTGAAGGTCTCTCTCCTTCACTTCCACGTGTGGTCCGCGGGACATTGATGTGTCCACTGCCCCTTGTTTGCTCATTTATTTTGTTTCTTTTAATAAACTCCCAATGCTTCCTTTTCACATATATATATATATATCATTTTTTTTACGATTGAGTCTTCTTCTTCTTTTTTCTTTAAAAAAACCATATTTGAGTCAGTCCATGGAGGAATCTTTGGTAGATTTTGTTTCTTTTTAAAAATGTTCTCTTTTCTTCATGCCAGAGCGCGGTAACGTCTGCGTTGTAGCCTCTGCCGGAATAAGGTCACCTCTGATGACTTAAGACAGACACAAGAAGGAAAACGAGCAAAATCCGTATATGCGGCAGCCTTCTGCCTGCACCTGAAGGTATATCTGAAAGAGGAGGAGGAAAAAAAGGATTAGTGAGGCTTTGAATTCAATACACCCAAGGTGACCCAACTGGTCAGGTTTGGCTTGGATTTTAAAGAGGTCATTCAAGGTCATTCAGTTGGTTAAAAGAAGAGCTGGCAAAAATGGCAGGAAGCCGTATAAGCTACTAGAAGCCTTCTGCTTGTTGTTGAGATTCATCAATATTTCGTCTCTGGAAAGATGTTTGAAACAACTTTAAGGAAGTTTGGGCACTTACATCTCAGAGGACCTCTCATGGACTATAAATGCCAACATGCTAGTGAAGAAGGCACAGAAGAGGCTGTATATTTCCTGAGAATGCTCAGGAAGTTAAATTGATCTTGGCATTTACTTCTGTCTTACTATCGTAGCACCATCGAGAGTGTTGTAACTTATGGCATTCTCGTATGGTTTGGGAGTAGCTCTGTAGCGGACAAAAAAGCTCTAGAGAGAACCATTAAAATTGCCCAGAATATCATCGGGCTCCAGCTACCAACCCTGGATGACATCTTTACATCCCGCTGTCTCAGAAAATCACACAACATCCTGAGAGGCTCTTCCCATCCTGCTTACAACTTTTTTGAATTGCTGCCGTCTGGCAGAAGATATAGAACAATTAAGACTCGGACCATACATTTTCTGAATAGTTTTTATCCCATTATTAATTGCACTTAATAATGAGCTTAAAGACCACCAGTTGTGAACAGTTGGACAGTGTTACCTAGCCTGCAGTGTAGATGTTTGTATTCTTAGTGGGGGATTTTTAGTGAGTGGGGAGTGTTTGGGGATTTTTTATGTGTGTACATGTGGGTCTGGTCTCTGGGTGTCTGTATGAATTTCATTGTATGTGTATACTAGGTACAGACTTACAATGACAATACATTTATTTGATTTGAAGGAAACGACAATGTCCCTTTAGAAGAATCAATTCCACATGTGTTTGTCCGGGAAGTTTGACAGGGCTCTCTGAACTGCTTATTCAGATGTACTCTATATCCTGCTAAATTACACAGTCATGGAAGCACAGCATTGGAAGAGGTCCCCAAGGGTGATCTCGTCCAACCTTCTCCGTGGCTAGAGCATCCCAGACCGATGGCCATCCAACCTCTGTTTCAAAACCTCCAACCAAAGAGCGGTACTGTATTTTTCTGTGTATAAGACGCCCCCATGTATAAGACACCCCCCCCACTTTTCTAACCCAAAATTAAGAAATCTAAGTGGGGATTAGCAAACCTAGGGGGGAAGGGATCAAAGCCCAGCAGGATCACTTTGATCCCTGCTTTCCCCTCCACTTGTTTTTGTTCTCTCCTCAGCTTACTTTCGTGTATAAGATGACCCTCAATTTTTAGTCTAAAGATTTTAGACAAAAGTATAGTCTCATACATGGAAAAATATGGTACTTTGTTTCCTGTCAATGAGCTTTATTACCAAGAAACTCTTCCCAGTCGTCAGACAGAAGCTCCTTGCTAGTCATTTGAACCCATGACTTGGGGTCTTTTCTTGTGGAGCAGCAGTAAACCAGCTTGCTCCACCTTCCTCATTCTTGATTTTGGATTGCACAGCTGTGTCCCTACCTTGAGACTGGGTCCCTCACCATGTTGATCCATGCACTGGTACTCTCAAGATTAGATTACTGCAATGCCCTTTACATGGGGCTACCCATGAGGCTGCTACGGATACTTCAGTGGGTCGAGAATATGATAGCTAGACGATTGTGTGGAGTAAATAAATGCCAACGCATGTCCCCCCTTTTAGCTGCCTTACACTGGTTACCCGTCTGCTTCTGTGCCAGCTTCAAGGTGATGACATTAACATATAAAGCCCTAAATGGTTTGGGACCTTGATACATGGCAGATCACCTTCGGTGAGATTTGCTTGATCCATTTGATCTTCCCAGGCTGGACAGTTGAGGTCATTGACTCTGAGAGAGGCCCAGAAAGAGAAGACCAGAAAATGGGCTTTCTGTGTGGTTGTATCTCTTTTATAGAATAACCTCCTGCCCAAAATTCACCTGGCCCCTTTACCAGGGATTTTCAAGAGACATCTTAATACATGGTTATATAGACAGGCCTTCCCAGATTTTAACTCCACAGAGCGGATCAACAGAGTGGACTTTAGATCTACAGCAGCGGTCAACTTGGCACTTAAGTCACCAACTCCGCTTTCTTGCTTTTATTCATTGCTTTATGTTGCTGTTGTTTTTTGTTAATTGGTGGTAGGTAAAGGTAATGGTTCCCCTTGACAATTTTTGTCCAGTCGTGTTCGACTCTAGGGGCCGGTGCTCATCCCCGTTTCTAAGCCATAGAGCCAGCGTTTGTCCGAAGACAGTTTCCGTGGTCACGTGGCCAGCGCGACTTAGACATGGAACGCTGTTACCTTCCCACTGAGGTGGTCCCTATTGATCTACTTGCATTTTCATGCTTTCGAACCGCTAGGTTGGTGGGAGTAATTGGTGGCAGATCTATTTAATTTGGAGTAGTTGTTATACTTATGTAATTATGATCTAATGTTTTATTTTCCTTTTGTCGTGAGCTGCCCCAAGTAGCCTGGGTAGCTAGATCAGCAAATTGAACGAATGAACGAACAAACGAATGAACGAATAAATAAATAACTTCCCCGTGATTTATACCCCTTGGCATTGACTTACTTAAGCCACACTGATTCAGTGGGTCTATTCTATTTGGGGCAGACGCCTAAATTCACCACTCTGTAAACCCAGTCCTGCAGTTAAGACTCTGCTCACAATCTGACTTCAATTCCAGGATCCAGGGAGTTGGCTCGAGCTTGACTCGACCTTTCATCCAAGGGTGGTTTATTGAGTGCCAAGTTCTAGGTGTGTCTGTGCAATGGGTAGCCTGCATAATTGAATTGTAAACCATCCAGAGAGTGCTTTAAGCGGTATATAAGTAGCACACTTTGCTTTGGTTTTTATGTGTTTGATGCATCTGTTCTTACTGGCGTTTATCCCATGGGAGACTAATGCAGGAGAATGTAAAGGCAGGTATTTCCTTTTGAATACAAATAATGACCGAAGCTGTTTGTCATTCTTTGGACGAATGTAGCCCAGGCATCGCTATTCTGCAAGGACAAAGGTTCAAACCTGGATTATAGTCTTCCATTAGGCTCTCTCTCTCTCTCTCTCTCTGTCTCTCTCTCTCTGTGTGTGTGTGAGGGATCCTGCTAGGAAGTATGGACGGGCCATGATTCTGAAGGGTGCAGACTTACGGTGGTTGTCGTGATCGGACATCGTGCACTCTCCTTCCACAATGGAGATGTCGTCTATGGCAATGTCCCCTTCGATGCCTCGGCCCCGTATGCCTTCAAAGACAATCTGGAGTGAAATCAAAGAGAGGAACCCGGGAAATAAACTACTTGTGCATGGTGTAGGAGATGTTGAGGCACAAAAATGGTGGTGTATCATATCCAGACAACTGCTTCCTTCTCCTATCCAATGAACTCCAATCACACCTGAATTTTTTGTCCCCTCCCCCCGTACATACGGGGGTAATCACATGGACGTTTGGCCTGTTGTTTGGTAAACTGCAGGGACGGGTTGGTTCGCTCCTTTTTCCAGAGATTGCATGATGTAATAGCTGGAGTGAACCCTATCCTTTCCCCACAGCTTTCACACCTTTCTGATCCCCCTTTGGTGGATCCTAAAGGAGATGCAGCCAAGAGGCAGAGGAAGTGTTCAATTTGCCAATATCCTGAAGTGGCTCTCCTCTTTCACACCTTTCTGATCCCCCTTTGGTGGACTTGACGGGGGGGTTAGTTTCTTGGCTAGTCCTTTAGGAGAATTTATTTATTTATTTATTTATTTTATTTCTATCCCGCCTATCTGGACATATTAGCCCACTCTAGGCGGCTTACAATAAAAGAAACAATATAATTTTAAAACATTACACCTAGACTAAGATAGAAATCAAAGAAAGATATAAGAAAGGAAAAATCGTCAGGAGTTTTCTGTTGGGAAAGCCTGCCTATACATCAATGTTTTTAGTTGTTTCTTAAAAATGAGCCAAGGATTTCTGGATGACCACCACCAATAGGATCTCTCAAGGGCTGTATCAAGGCCTGTGCATCGGAAGAAGGACTCTGCCATCCATGGAAACGTAGGCTAAATAAAACGGAGCAAAGGGCCATGTGCCTCTTTATTGGATGTGCAGCCACAGGCTACGGGTTTAATGTGGTTGGCTACCCGTCTGGAACGTTGTGCAAGGATGAGAGAAGTGAAGGTTTGCATTTCAAGCGACGTACCTGTGCAAAGAAAGAAGAACAAACGCCACACCCCTATGTATTTTGCTTTGCTGAAGGGCAATGGCTGGGTTTGTTACGTTTAAAAATATCAGGGAAAAAAAAGAAACATCTTCAGTCTCGCCAGGTTTGGTGAAGTTTGAGTTTCAGACATTCAGGTTATGCGTCCCCTCAAGGAAAGTGCCCTTTAGCAGTTGGCTTGGGAAAGCCCAATCTTCACCAATCACTGGAGGGATCGGTGAGGAGAGTCGTGGGAAGCTTCTCTAGTTCCTAGTTAGGCATCTTTCAGTCTCGAGAGACTATGGTAACAGGCTCTGTATGGAGGACTTGGAACAGCGTCTAGTGTGTCTGAGAAGGACAATTCGAGAGTGACAATCTCTTCCACACTGAAGACAAATCCAATCTGTCCCCTGTCCAGCTCCCTGGTTTTGCTGCTTTCGTGACTTCCTCTTTGCCTCGGCCTGCTGAACAAGGGTCTCTTCAAATTGGGAGAGGGTGTGATGCACCACCTGCCTCCAGGCTTCAATGCTCAGATGTCAGGGTTTCCCATCTGTGGAAGTCCATTCCTAAGTCCTTCAGATCCCGCTTGCAGATATCCTTGTATCGCAGCTGTGGTCTCCCTCTGGGGCAATTTCCCTGCACTAATTCTCCATACAGGAGATCATTCGGAATCCGACCCTCAGCCATGCTCACGACATGCCTGAGCCAACGTAGACGTCGCTGACAATGAAATAATTTTTGTGAGGTTTAAAGGTGCTGCAATACATTTGTTTTGGTTTTGTTATTGATGAAACAAAACGGAACTACTTCTCTGTATAGTACTCAATACAGTATAAAAAAAATTATAACGTATTTTATAACACATTTTTCATTCATCGGATCAGACCCTACTAAGTACAGTACTTTTTATCAGAATCAGAGACCTTGCTGCTGTCGATCAGAATCTATAGAGTGCTCTCTGTTTCAATTAGGAAATATTCTTTTCTCAGCACATGCCCAAACATAGTGTAGGCATCTGTTACATACAGCACTGATGTTACCTGTCTGTCATGGGTTTGGAGGGAAAGTTCCATCCTATGGGGAGTGGAAGGCGGGACATCAGGAGGAGGGGCTGTACTGTATATATATG